TAAGCATTTCATTATCATAATCACTAATATAAACATTATCTTTTATTGCTTTATTGTTCTTTTCATTTTCATTATAAAATCGTTATCATCATTAATATTATCTTTTTGTTATCAAAATAATTGTCATCATTATTGCTATCCTTATTGAATTTATCGTTTTTTATCATTATCATTATCATTGTTATCATTACTTCATCCCGTTATTATCTTATTATGATTATAATTATCATTATTATGATTAACACTATTTTATTATCATTATTACTATAATTATTATTTTCATTTTCATCATTACTATTATTATTATTGCTATTATCATTATCATTAATGTTAGTATTAGTAGTATTAACATTATCAAATATTATCATTATCATCATTGTTATTATTATTATTATCATAACTATTACCATCGTCTTTATCTTGATCATCCTCATAATCATTATCTTCATCACTATCAACATTGCTATCATCATTATTATCATTGATCTCATCTTCATCATCTTTACCCTTATATGAGTTGGTCATCATCTTTGCATTTCTTCCTCCTCCTCCTCCTCCTCCTCCTTCTTCTCCCTTCCACCCTTCTTCAACACTGCGAGATGCTCCGGGCGAGCAGTCTCCGGGCCTTTCCACCCGGCGGGTTGGGCTGTGTTGTGGTGCGCCGCCTGGCAGTGGTTGGGGATGTACGTCCTTCAGGTTGCCCGCGCGTCCTTTCTATCTGGCCCGCACTCCTCTCTTCTACGGTGAATTTCGCTATTTTGTCCTTCGTGAAATCTTCGTTCATCTATGAATGTGTTTTCCAAACGTCGGGAGTTTCTTTTACGACGTGGCAGATCCTGTGATATTGTTTACTTCCTTCGCAATGGAAGAAAATGGTTATCTTTGGAACAATAAGACTAACAGGCAACTGGACCCGGCGAGGCTAGGACTTCTTGCATATTCGGAAAAGTTTTGTAGACTTCACTTCCTTGAGGGTCTTGGCGGAGACCGGGTGTAAAAAGGCTTTTTCTCGGTGATGTTCACTCGCAGGCCTTTCTTGACCTCCTTAGAGTCGCGTCCGTATCTTGAGATGCCCACGTGTAAACATGGTGCCAGTCAGGTAGTAGACCTACATAAACATAACGACTTACTCCAGCCCCCTCGCTAGATATTTAAACGTAATTAGCATGTTTTTTGGGGGCTGCTAATCCTACACGATCAAAATTTCAATCTTCGGGAAACAGCGGTCTAGTTTTTTCAATATAAATGATACAACCCTGCAAATGGCACAGACGGCCAGGGGCAAGAACGTTTGTTAAGTCGGTCACCGAAACCGTTAAATGAACGACGCAAAACGAGAAGCAACGTCTTTTTTTCTTTGTTTTTTTGTTACCGTTGAAGTAGAGTTTTATACAATTCTGATGTTGCATTTTCTACTTTTATTATTATTTGCACGTTTATAGTTATTGTATATTTTATTGTTTCCATTCTTTATTTTTTTCTTTTTAGTTTTGCTTCTAAGTCATTGTGTCCATTAACATTTGCCTTTGTTAGCATAGCAGTTGTAGCAGTAATGGAAGTCGTGGTAGTATGGTGGTTAGTAGTAATAGTAGTAGTAGTAGTAGTAGTAGTAGTAGTAGTAATAGTAGTAGTAGCAGCAGTCGTTAGTAGTACTAACAGTCGTAGCAGTAGTACTAATAGTAGTGGTGGTGATAGGAGTAATAACAGTTGTAGTAGTAGTAGAAATAGTAGTAGTAGTAGTAATAGTAGTGGTGATAGAAATAGTAGTAGAAGTAACAATAGTAGCAGAATGGTTAGTGATGGTAGTAAGCGTACTAGTAGTACAGTAGCAATAGAAGTAATGATAGTAGTATAAAAGCAGCAGCAGCCGGAGCATCAAGAATGCCAACAACACCACTAGTAGTAGTAGCAGCGGAATGGTTGGAGTGATAATAGCAACGGGGGTAATGGTAGCAGTGGTGGTACTTGGAACGTGCCAGTGCAGTAGAGACAGCTCTTATAAAAAAAGTGGTGAATATGATTATTAAAGAGGAAACGGGAGGATCCTTGTAAAGGCAACAACATTAGTAAGTGGTACTAATTCTAATAAAGGTTGTAGTGGTAGTAGTAATAGTAATATTGATATTTTTCCAGTATTTTTCCTTCGTAAATTTAGCATCGTCACAATGTATATCCGTAGTCATTAGCATAACACCTGTCAAAGGTATCATAACGGAAAGCCTTTTACTAATAGCATGTTTACTCTTCCAATCCATTTTTACGTGATGTTAGTGACCAATAGTTAGAAGGTTAGAAGTTAGTGGCAGATAGTTTTGTGTTGGTGGACTTACAGCTGCAGTGGACAGTGGTTCGAACAACTATTTTGTTGATGTATAGCTATGTCTTCTCTCTCTCTCTCTCTCTCTCTCTCTCTTCTCTCTCTCTCTCTCTATATATAATATATATATATATATATATATATATATATATATATATATATATATTATATATATATATATATATATATATATATATATATATATATATATATGTATATATATATATATATATCTATATATATATATATATATATATATATATATATATATATATTATGTATGT